GCATAGTAACCTCCCCTTACTTTCGTTTTGGATATAACTAGTTCTGTTGGGACAGATCACTTTTGTTTTGGATATAACTAGTTCAGTTGGGACAGATCACTTTCGTTTTGGATATAACTAGTTCAATTGGGACAGATCACTTTCGTTTTGGATATAACTAGTTCAGTTGGGACAGATCACTTTCGTTTTGGATATAACTAGTTCAGTTGGGACAGATCACTTTCGTTTTGGATATAACTAGTTCAGTTGGGACAGATCACTTTCGTTTTGGATATAACTAGTTCAGTTGGGACAGATCACTTTCGTTTTGGATATAACTAGTTCAGTTGGGACAGATCACTTTCGTTTTGGATATAACTAGTTCAGTTGGGACAGATCACTTTCGTTGACCAGGTAGCTCAGTCGGTTAGAGCAATAGTATGACCTCTGAAGTCCAGGGTTCGAAATCAGGTCTAGCCTCTCCGATTTTTAACACTTCATTATACAGTTGTGGATTATATCCTGTTTTTATAATCTTAATGACCTTTTTCATTAAAGTCCTGCAAGGAATTGTTTTCTTTTCAAAATTGATTTATCTTAGCTGTAGTCATATGGCAGTGGAACGAGGATTTCAATTTTGTGTTCGTGTATAGTTGAATTCAAGATTGCATTGATATTTTGTAAATATTCGCAAATATGAATACTTTACGCAGACTAACTATCTAAATTATTGGGTTTTGTCCTCGAACACATAATGAGATGTCACGTACCACTTTGCCTGTTATAGAAAATAAATTGCAAATGGTTGTAAATCAAGTCATATCTCGGAGGAAAAAATCCAGCAAAAAATCGTTTTCATTTTTCCTTGTAATGATGATATCGTTTTAATCTCTAAAACTAACAATGAAGGAGTGGTCTTTTGGCATTTGCTATTTAAAACTTACATAATACTTGAATTCATATATAACATGTTGAAATCGTATGAAATCAAATACATGTAATATACCAAACCTTCGACCGTCATTATCCGGATAATACATAGGGACATTATCTTTTGAAACATCATCTGTGTGTTGTATCAATCAATCAATCAATCAACATGTTCAAATTTCGTTAGGTATTTATTTTAACAATAGTCACATGTAGTTATTACCCTTTATAAAGCATTCAGTGAAGAACTAGGTACAGATAAGGTAAATAATAAAACAGATATTGTTGGCTTTAGATTGCATAAGTCACTTAAAGGCCTGTGCATACCAGCACAATCAAACACCAGTTGCTGGCAACAATGTCTTTTCGGATATTTGAATTTAAAATTCGTGATGTAAATTGTTTTCTTGAAACCTAATCCACGAGAGACTACATGATATATTTCAATCAATGCTGGCAAAGAGGTTTATAGCAGCAATGCAATTACTGCAGTTCGTCACCGATAGTCGCAGAAATTAGCGTCCAATTTATACACAATTACATCAACAATACAACTATCATATAAACTCAAATGGATGATGTATTTTGTTCAATGTTTCCTATTCTTCTGCCGCTAACTATCTGACTTTTCTCATTAACATTTATATCAAATGTCACAGAAGGCTATTAAATGGCGCAATTTACTTAATTGAAATATCGGATAACAAAGACGAATTTAAAATACAGTGGAAATTATCTTTGCAATTTGACAGTTAAAAGGACAGGAAAAAACCCAAGATGAACCCAAAAGTTGGTTCTGTTGAGAAGCGACGTCCACACTTAAAACGACTTGATAGAAACTGGGTCATTCCAAATCCTGTTCTTTGTACGATAATATAATCCTAAACCCAGTAAACCATTAGCTTGTTAAAGATGAAACCCCAATTAGTGTGTGGTGAAATCCGTATCTTTGTCAAGGATATCCTAATCATCGTTTTGCTAAAAATCAATTTAAAAAAAAACCTTGAATAAAAGCACACCTTAATCATATATTTATGATACTTTATTTTGTTTTCTACAAGCTATTGATTTTGAAATTGATAACACGTGTTCAGATAGGCGAACGTTTACCAGAGTATACTAGGAGAGGGCGTGCGTCCTCTAGAGGGTAATGACCTAATATATAAGTACATGTAATGTATTCAGCTGTATTTCGGAAACATACACGTAAACATATAGATACAGACACTTCATACTTCCCTTGGTATGTGTACCACCGGTATATTGTATGAAAACTCCACCCTTCTGATGAATCAGAAACATATGCAAGATATTCACTGTTGCGTGGATCAAAGATTTATCTGACAAATAAATTTAAGAAAATATATTCCTCCGGATTTAAAATGATTTAATCTTTTAAATCGGGAACAGTCAACGTGACAGCGTATATTTTGTACAGGGATTATATTAGTTTGATTTAAATCCTGCCCACATTGATATTCATTTCACGATAACTTAAATTTGAAACCGTGTAATATGGAGAATATTATATAGAATATCTTCCGATATAAAACTAGTCTACCCGAAATAGAACCTCTGGCGATCAGATTAACATCCATTCAAATCAGTGGTAGATTAAATATCGTGTAAGGTGTAGGAGTGGTTCACATTTTATATGCACAATCTGGAACCATTCTTAGATATTCATCCTAGTCTGGACTTAATCATTCACTGGGTTTGGTGTAACTAAACTATTTAAGATTTATTTTCATATAGGTTCTTGTTCTTAATATTTAAAATTGACTTTGATTTATTGGTAGATGGTTGTTTCTTTCGTCACCAGCACATTGATTGCTTGCAAACGTTTGTTTTGAGATAGATTCTGGCGTATAAGATTCAGGGTGACAGACGCACATTACTAGATGATTAAAAAGCAATAATATTTCCCTCTATATGATGTAAGTAATATTGGGTAGATGATATTCTCTCCATACATGATTTTAGAGATAAATTGTCAGGAACAACAGGAAAACCCTCATATCATTGGAATCTTTAAATGGTCTGAAACAGAGGAGACGTCTTGATATCGTTACAGTAAAACTGATAGTGATGAAAACATTATTATTAATTGACGTCCAATTCAATGTATCTGTTCAGTCAATAAGGATGTGTTATTTTGTGTTAATTTGGAATCAATTCCTTTTTAGAAAAATCATTTACATACTTTATTGCATTCGGCGGGATACATCAGGACAGGCATATAGGGAAATGATCACATATATGAAAGATTTAGTTTCGCCACAGTCTTTAAGTTGGTGTTTATGAAGTTCTTTGATTTTGTTTTGGTGTATCCTCAGTTCCTAATTTTTAATTTTCATTTCAAAACTGATTTTAGATTTGTTTTGTGTATTAATATTGTGGGATTTTTCTATTAACCTGTTACATCAAACAGAAGCTACCCCTAGTAAACCAGTCGTCCTAAAGAGGCACTTGCCTGTGTCAGGTCACTAGATTCACATTGACAGTTCAATTGAAGGGCTTGACATTTAATTTAACGTATTTACCTTGTTATCAACAGTTACACCCATTACCAAACATACACCAAATACATACGTATCCACGCGGTCCTTTAATACTAGTGTTTATCAATCTAAAGGACGGGAGAAACAACCAAACACAGGTTTAGATATTTCTTTGATTTGGAATACCTGAGGGCTATCAGCTTTCAATGACACGGGGCAAACTCATAAAGTTAAATGGTCACCATTTAATTCCCGAGATCGAACGACCGTCGATAAAGGTCATAGATCACTTTGAATAGCAATATCCTTAATTGGTACATACTTAAGACATAGAATCCAGCAATGCTCTTGTAAGATATTTATAAAAACAGGTAGTCGCCTTTATTATTTTTTAATATTTGAAACATCATTTCATGATTTTTAAACTAAGACAAACAATGTCAGTTGTTATAATCAAAGCATTACTTTATTATCAATAATTAACAAATGGAAATATTTGTATCACAACAAAAGCACCGCCTGATAGTCATATCGCCTTTCTCATTATGCCGTTTATATTGTTGTAGTTTCGAATATTTATAACCAAATCAATGATGTTCTGAAAAGTACATATCTGCATTACCCATATCAAGTGCTGGTTTAATGACATATATTTTGTTTAAGTAAACATTAACGTATCAGATGTGTTGGCTTGATTGATTAACAAACAATTGGATACGCGGAAAAATGCTTTTTGTGTGTTGGTTACCGTTGAAAACAGGTCAATATGTTAATTCAGATATAATATTATTTAAGTATGAATAAAGGAAACAAAAGAAGAATACCGAAATGTCAATAAATAGGACAGTATTATGAATAAAGGAAAGATTAACAAAAAAATGTAAGACCAGGAAATCGGCACCTGTTGTTGAAAAAAAACAAGCATTCTAGGGGGAGTTTATACAATGTGTGTTTTTTTTTTGCATCAAAGCGATATTCACATCAATCAAAATGTAATAAACAGCTTTATCTATTTCAATGTCCAAACATTTATATGCAACTGAGCTAAATATACGAAATTATTCTCTTGAGCTGACCGTTATTATTTTAATGTTTGGTATATGAAATGTAATTATATAGTTACCAGATGCCCTAACAGGTTATCACAGTAGTTCCAATAGGATACAGTTATCTTTTCAAAGACACGAACTTCGGTATTTCATAAAATCAATAACGAATTTGATATTCTCTTTCTCATATCATTAACCTTGCTATGTAAAATAACACACTTTATTACAAAATTAGGAAACACGCCGCCATTTTTACCTTTCACTGATAGCTCATGACGGATTTTCATTATCACTTGTGACGTCACTATCGGTTTTATACACAATTTACATGTCGAATAGAATAAAGCATGATTATACGAAACGATATGTAAATATACCTTAACTCCATAACCTGTGTTTTATTGACCTGTATACGTAGTAATAGATGTACATTCTTACACAGGGTCATTGGTGTCAAAATTACAAATGTTTCCATTATAACTGTCTTTCTATCCATCTGTCACAAACCAAGCTTATTGTACAACGAATTTTGTCGTTTCAGATAACTGTCTGTTCCGGACTCCCCGGACCAGTGCCCACGGACCGTCCAGATCTACGACAAAATTTCCATCCTTACGAACAGGAAGGGTATGTTCTTAAAATGATTCGTTTATTTACACGTTAAAATCTTAATAAATGTTTGCCTTCTGAAAATATTCATCCTGGTAAGAGAGTAGCTTTTAAAACTGTCAATTAAGAATAAATATCCAACAATATATTCAAGTACTTCATTGACTCTAAGTCTTGTGTAGCGTTTGTTTCGTAACTTCTATCTATTATCATATGCGTTCGGAAAGGAATGCTGTATGCATTGTACAAATGTTTCAAAATTAAAGAGTTTTTTAAAGTCAATGTCACTCATTTATGCAAATATTTAAAAAAAAAACACCAAAAAAACATATTTCTGTTGAAGTATCAGTAGTTTAAATATAACTTTATTCTGTTTTTATGGTAACTGAAGGTTGAGTAAAAGATCCACAGTTTGTCTACAACTAAATATGATATTCATAAAAATACATGAAGAATGTTGAAATTAGTGCTTTAACATTTCGACTAAAGCAAAAACAAGTCTGTACAATAACATACTCCATAGAAATATAAGTACGTTCAAATTTATTATTGGTGGACCTTCTGGTGACAACTCCAGGGTCGAACCATAACCTACCATGAAACTTATCACGGAATTACCCTAAATAGCCAAGCGTCAAATGTGCACTTCCATGAACCTTCTACTATTCATGTGGTAATTTGAAAGGCTTTTAAAAATGAGATTAAATTGACTCTTTATGATATCAATACTCAAATTAGTATTGAGGGCTCATGTGTCTCAGATAAAATCGTATTTAAGATTGATGTGCTTTTCTTACTATTAAATAAGCAGTATACTTTCTTATGATTCACGATGTAAAATTTCAAAATACGCAAATTTTAGTGAATTGGTTCGCTTTCATTTATCGCGTTCGAAACGGGTTTACCGGTTGAGCGCCAGTTTGTAGTTTTCAAGCGGGCCTCGACAAATTTTCAAATTCTGCAGTAACATTCGCATGCCCGTAAGGGTTTTCACCTTAAAATAAGGCTTTATCCTTAAAATGTTACATTTAAAAACGGACGAACCGGTTTGTACGTATTAACGAACGCAAGCTATTTAATTTAAGCTAATGCTATATTTCGTGTCAGTGTTTCAAACCAACTGCAGTTAAAATATACGTTATAAAGTTCAGATTCTAAAACCGTCCCCAAAAGAATGTGTCAGTGTTGGTGTCACGAGCGGACCATTATAGATTTAAACGAGACACACGCGATTAGGTAGAACGATTTATTGTATAAGGTTAATCCAGGTATGATGTTTTCCGTCCATCTTTTGTCATACCTGTTCGATTTTCCGTCAGGTATACCGAGTACAATACCCTATGATACAGTTCCTCGAAACAGAATATTGCACGTATGGCATTAGGGATAACATCACTAGGTGATTCAACGCCGACCAATTAGTTGTAAATATGTATGCAAATAAATGGGGATATCGTCCATTTTGAGGATGTATATGGTACCTAACCATGCTAGTTATCTACTTTCTAAATGATATGCACATTAATAATTATGTAATGTTCTTTTCAATGAATTCGGAATCAACTTAGAATATTACCTGAACTACACTTGAGAATACTTTGTCACTTGATAGCGTTTCGTTCAATATCAATGCAAAGTGCCGATGTCATTTTAACAGAAGAGAAAATTGGTGTCATCTCTGATGAACTTCGATAGGTCAAAACCCACGTACCTTAGCCGAGTAATGTTTTGTTTTGTTTTTGTCAAGCACTTGCATTTTTTATGGTTGTCTAGACAACATAGAAATGTGTTCGGTACGGTTTTCTCAATGATATTAACGTTGCTTTAACACCACAAGTACATATTGATGTTTTATTTTCCATTCGAACACATACACTGCAATGTCACATACATTTCTATGCTGTATTTCGAAACAGGAACATTTTGTTGGTACAGATGTCGCGGTTTTCTGAAGCATTTAGACTTGAGTCATGTAAGGAGTACAGTACGTATAAATGATGTTCCACTGTAATGACAACTTGGAAAGTAAATACAATTCAAAAGGTTTCTCTTATATAGAATTGTTTTATCAACTGATATGAAAAATGAAAAATGGTGAAATGCCTTTTTAACAATTTCAACCGCTTACCCGACATTATTTTGGCCAGAACTGGTAAAAGCTATTTACGTTATAACACTTGTTTTTTGTTAAAGGAAACATCGATCAATACAGACAGATAAACGTTTCATATCTCTACGGGGGAGTTTTTTTGTTTAGAAAACATTTCTGTTTCTTTTGAATATAACCACTCGTCCGCGCCTGACCCAGCCGCGATGTCCGTTATCAGCCTACACGTACTTATGTCGCCCGCCGAGGACAACAAGCGTCCGCATAGTGAAATCTCTCGGGAAACGTTGACAGGTATCAAGGCAAACGACTTACCTTGATGATACTTTAGTGATCTATCCGTTTTCAGTCAAATGTTTGCCAAAATATCATGCTTAATGTCCCGACTGTGAACTATATCATCGATCGAAGGTCGTTAATTCAGCTCGTGTTGTCTTAAACATTCAAAATATCCTAGTGTCCGTTCGGTGTATTGATTTCAGTTTATCGCGGATCGACAGCTGAACGGTGTTGGAATGCTGTCATGACCACGCAGACACTTTCTCGATCTTCTTCGTCAAATATCTACCGTCGTTTGAAATTTAAAAGAGTTACAGTTTTGGTCTTAGCTTTCGTTCAATCATTGACATTTCATACAACCTCAGATACAGTAAAACAAACCTTAAATCAGTTCATCATCAAAGAGTTTCATTTCTATTTATCAATCAATGTCATCAGTAATAAAATTGAATAATACTTTGAAAGATGTTATCAGGGGGAAATTCATAAGAAGAGTTTTTCGAATTTAAGTATTTGCGAGGGTAAGCACAACCGCAAAAGTTATGTGGACGCGGTGGAATTACATGATTTAAAATCTTTTACAAATTTGAATTAACATATTCATTTAGATTTTATTTCAAAACAATTTCAATATTCATGTTGGATTGAAATACATCGTAACATGATGTCTCAAGCAGGCTGTTCGACTCTGACTATATAAGTTGAGAACAAAATCTGAAAGTATCAGGTCTGCTCAAAATCTGTTCACATACTTATAATACACTTATACTTGATATGTTTTCAACTTGTGAAGTTTCGCGACATCGTCATTACGCTTCAAACGAACATCTTTAAATAAACAACACTACATTGTCATATACTGGGTCTCTTCTCACTTACACCAATACATCCAACCGTAGAATGTTGATTGCTGTAAAATGAAGTGTTTATCAAGTCTAACGAACTTATTGCACGTCTTTCATTATAACATTATCACTCTCTATACGAAATACATTAACTTGAGATGCAAGACAGTAATGGAGGATCTCAACACCACGAGTGTTACTTAGAAAATATTTGAAAAAAGGATCAAAGTAAGCAGATCGATAACGTACGTTTGTGCCAGGTACCATTGTCTACAGGTTCTTTGAGTTGAGATACACATTAAGTGATAATGATTTCAACGTGCATCAATAATGCATGTTCGTCAATACTGATAGGGAGATTTAAACATGAAGTGGATACTTGAGTGAAGAATATGACTCTGGTGATAAGTGCAATTTTCAGAAATGTGAGAATTAAGAAAAGGCAACGGAAAAGGAATGAATTGCAATCATGTAAAAAATGCAAATATCAAAAATATGAAAAGAAAAATATGATAAAATCCAACCATTTGATACTTGAATTTCTCGAAGTTTAATGTATTTGTATGGGCGGCTATTTAAGTATAACTGAACAGGTGTAATGTTACTTGTACGTGTATGATAGGGTAGACACTGATCGCTTACTGTATAAAGGGGACCTGATATGACTTATGATAAGGTTGTTTTACAGTGAGTATGTATGTTCCCTACGCCCCTTCCTGTTCGAAAAGCGTTCCAAAGGATTATCAGAATTAAACTATTTTTTCCACTTGCATGGAGACGGTCTACAGGTACACAACTATGTTTGAGGTAGACAGACGGTCTATATCTATAAACGGTATGTCACAAGTATACATATATAAACCTGTATGTCACAAGCATACATATATACACCTGTATGTTACATGTATACAGAAAAACACCTGTATGTTACAGGAATACAATATACACCTGTATGTGACAGGTATACATAAACGTACCTGTATGTCACAGGTATACAGATCTACACCTGTGTGTCATAAGTATACATATATATAGCTGTATGTCACAGGTTTACAGACGGCGTACATGTACACACCTGTATGTCACAGGTATACATGTACACATCTGTATTTTACAGGTATAAAAGTTCACACCTGTATTGTTAAGGTATACAAGTTCACATCTGTATGTCACAGGTATACAGATTGTGTACAGCAACACACCTGTATTTTTAAGATATACAGGCGATCTACAGGTACACACCTGTATTTTTGAGATATACAGGCAATCTACAGGTACACATCTGTATGTTACACGTACAAACATGACGTTCACATGTATCTGTATACCTGTTTAGAACATGCGTACACACTGTCCCTGTGTACACGCGATACATGTAGTATGCACACTGTCTAGATGTGTAACAATGGTATTGTTAGATGATTAATAAAACACTTCAAAAATGTATTTTTGATAAATGATGTATCAAAAGTTGTATTGTATTAGATCATTGTAATTAATATACTGTTAGTGTTTGATATTTAAGAAAATAAACGTGAACCAAATTAAAGATTTTTTTATAGAAAGTTAAATGTCATTATGACATGGCTATTCGAAGGTGACGAAATTTAGTTGAACAGACATCGTGATACTAATTACCAACGTCAGTGGTTATTTCACCGATTTAATCAGGTTAGACGTGTTTATGAAGTGATTTGGAACGATTAAAAGTACCCGGATACCTACTACTTACATTAATGGTTTACTAAATGTTGATTAATATATACAAATAATTTGTTCCATTTTGT